ACAGACACTGAAAATTTCTAGTGGGAGGCCTTATCCTATTGGGGACCAGAGCAGGGGAGGGAAAGGGAAATAAAAGTACCATATGTAAAAAGATAATTAAAAATTATTATGAAGTCATAAAACAAAAAAACCAATACACAACAATAAGTACCTTTCATATATACTGATATTTATCAGTAATAAATTTGCTAAGAGAGAACATAGAATATTGTTACATCCAAAATAGAATTTTAAAAAAACATCTAAGAATAAACCTAATGAAATAAGTGAAACACTTCACTGTAAGAAAAAAATGAGACCATTTTAAAAAAGGACATTAAAGAAAACACTAGTTTATGGAAAGAGCTATGTTCCCAGATTGGCAGAATTCAAACCGCGAAAATGTACTACCTAAAGTGAGCCACAGATTCAGTACAACTCCAGTAAAGATTCCAATGCCACTCTTCATAGAATCAAAAGAAAAATCCAAAACCCATACAGGAACAAGAGATTGGAAATTGCAAATGTATCAACCCTAAGCAAAACAAACACTGGTTGAATTACCACAACACCCAACCTCGACAAAAACTGAAACACTCATGTATAAATCTAAGTGGAAACTTATCAGTAGGGACAAAGAGTGATTGTCACCTTGTCATATCGGAAATCACCTAGCAGAGAGTCTTTAAAGGTGTGTCTCTAAACCAGCACCTTGGTTAGGAAAACTGAGAAGGGAAAGCATGCTCTCATAGTTGATGGCATCATTCCCTTGACTTACAGCCTACAAAACGTGGGGAACTAGGAGCTGGATAGACTTTCAGAGCCCTAGCTGGTGTTGTAGAGGACTGCAGTTCAGTTTTCACAACTGCAAGTAACTTCCGTTCCAGAAGACCAATCTTACTCTGTCCTCCTCCTCCTCCTCTTCCTCCAGGTCCTCCTCCTCCTCTACCTGCTCCTGAACCCTTCCCGGTCCTTCTTCTCTTCCTCCTCTTCCTCTTCTTCTTCCTGTTCTTCAATGATTTATTTATTTTGATTTGGCATGGGTTTTACATGCATATATGTATGTTGGGCCTCAAAAATTAAATATGGAACTATGCTGTGACCCATTATGACCTTTGCTGAGCACAGGGACAAATCACTGCCCATCCTAGCACAAAGGTCAATGCTCATCCACATCTCCTGCTACAGTATTCCTAATGTAGAGACAGCTTAGCTGTCCAGCACCAGAGGAGCACATTTTGAAAATGATAGACACAGTGGAATTCTATTCAGCTGTAAAGAAAGATAAAATTACAAGATTGTAGAAGAAATGGGTGAACCTAGAAAGTATATTAAGCAAGGTCACCCAGAGAAAAAACACAACAAAAAAACCCTTTGACTGGGTGCTGGTACTCCTGTGGGTCACTGTGAAGCTTGTGCATCACCACAGTCCCCAAGGAGACCATGAGATGACATCTCCTGAACATGACACAGCTAACCCTTTTTGTCAGTTTCTGTCACTGAGTAAGTCAGGGAAAGCTGAAGAGAGCTTCCCAATGCTGGAGACATTTTAAAAAGCAGAGATTCTCACTCTGGTTTTGTATAACAATCTAAAACTCTCCATCAGTATCATCAAAACCCTAGAGGACAAAAATCGTTGGTGTAAATAGGGCTGAACTTAGGAAGCAAAGCCCAGGAAGAGCTGAAAGGAAAACCAGGGGACTCAAGACAGAAGAGCACCTGGGTGCAATTTGCACACCAAGGCTCCATTTTATTATTAAACTTCTTATTATTAAGCCTGCTTCATAGCCAGCATGTCCAAGGTTCTATAAAAAAAACAGTAATGTTGTCATCAGAAAAACAATCATTTACCCTGACTGTTCCCTAGGAATTGTGGAAAGCATGGGCATTCCTATGCTCGTTTCCATAGTTCATGGCATCCAAACTCTCTACTTGAGAATTACCAACATCACATGTTCCTATGCCCATCTTACAAATTTGCTACATCCTCACAAACAATCCCCAACACACCATATTTACATTATGGCTTTAGGTGTTCTACAGGGCAGAGTATTGCTATCTGTATAAGAAGCATCCTCAGATGGAGACTGTCTCACAGCAAAATATACCACTGGCCTAGGAGGCCTGAACTATGCTGCCCTTCATATGAAAAGCCACTTGTTTTAGGCTTCTCTTCCATTCCAGTTTTCCTGCTGACTTTGTCCATGGCTCTTATAATGTTAATGTGAATTTCTAGAAAGAGTCTGTTTCCCCTGGGTCTGATATTCATTCCTTACTGCTAGGGCTGAATCAGTCAGTCGCTGGGCATGTCTACATGGTGATATATTGTGTATGATTTGATAAAGCTTACCTGAGGATACAGAACCCAGGCAGTCACACACATGCCTTTAATCCAAGCAGTCAGAGGCTGGGAGATGGTGGTACACACCTTTAATCTTAGGATTTAGAATTGAGTGTTGACAGATCTCTGTGAGTTCAAGACAACCCAGATCTACCCAGGAGTAGATCATTCTAAAGAGAATTACGGCTCACACCTTTAATCTCAACATTAGGAAAGCATATAAGACAGAAGCAAAGTCTCAGAGAGAATGCACAGAGGACAGGCAGCAGTCTGATGCTTGGTGACAGCTCGTGGAGACAGGATACCCCATTCAGCCTAAGATAGAGGTAAGAAGCTAGTGACCAGCTGTTTTGCTTTTCTGATTTCAGCTTGAAGTGTGAACCCAAATAACCATCTCTTGGGTTTTTTTGTGTGGGTGTAAGAAAGTCAAGACCATCTGAGGCCTAGGGTAGATGCCACAGGCCTAGCGTCCCCTGGCAATATCAGCCTATCAGCCGGTGTGAAGTGATTTTATAAAAATACCCCATGAATAGAAACCAGGAGACAAACACATACTAGGTTTTGACAGTTCATCGTGAGATTGGCCCCATCCGGAAATTTTGGGCATCCTCCGTTCCTCATAATTTCTTCATGCCCCATTTACAAATCTGTCAGATAAAGGTAATCTTATGGTCCTTCTGTCAGTTACTGGGCAGGTCTACATTGGTGTGTTGTTTATGATTTTTAAAGCTTGTCTTAGCAATCTGAAAGCAGTCAGTCAGAAGCCATAGAAGCAAGGCACACACCTCTAATCCCAGCAGCCAGAATATTAAATTCCTTTAATCTTAGGACTCAGCATTAAGAGGTAGACTGATCTTTGGGAGGTCAAGGCAACCCAGAGTGGATGACTCTAAAGAGAATTACAGCTCACACCTTTAATGCCAATGTCAGGGAAGTATATAAGACACAAGCAAGGTCTCACAGACCAGCCACTCAGAGAAGAGGCAGCAGTCTGTGGCTTAGTGACAGCTAGTGAAGAAGGGACCATCCCATTCAGCCTAAGATAGAGGTAAGAAGCTAGATTTTCTGACGTTCAACTTGAAGTTTTAACCCCAAATCAGTATCTGGGTTTTTTATTTAAATTTTGTTACACTGGGGTAGGGAAGGTCAAATTCACCTGAGGCATGGGGTTAATGCCACATTTCTTCTCTCTCCTGGCAGCATCTGCCAGTGTGGAGTGATTTTATAAATATACCTCATAAATAGAAACCAGTAGGCAAACAAGACTAGGTTTTGACAGTACATCTCTCAGTTTGGACCCATCCAGATGTTTTACGCATTCTCTGATCCTCATAATTAAGTTTTAAGATTATTTATTTATTTTTACTCTCTGATCACTTTCCCACAAATTCTAGACACTTGTGTATGTGCTGAATTATTGCAAGGAAGATATTTTGGAATCCCTTTAAACCTAGATACTGTTGCTGTATTCATTCAACCTAGGTACTGTCATTTTATATAACAGGATAACATTACTAAATGAGATCTTATTAAATGGTTTGGCTGAGCATTACCGCTCTCTTTCATGAGTAACAGCATATGACCTCAGTGAGCCAGAAAGTCCACTTGCCAAAATTTGCCCAGTAAATGCACCACCTGCCCATGAGATGATGTGTGTTTAATAACATTCCTGGCTAATTTGCTTTATTGTGGTTTGTTGGTTTCTCCTTTTTTCATTTTTAAAAAATTCATATTAGACACAACCTTGACTGACATGCCAACCTGAGCTCCCTCTACCTACCCTGCTCCCTGGCCCACCAGCCACCAACCCAATCCCCACTCTGATCCCGAGGGAGGGTGAGGCCCTCTATGGAGGATCTCCTTGTTTGTCACGTCATTCAGGAGAGTGCCTAGCCCCTCCATGAAGAGACCAGGCTGAAAGAGCATTCTTGAGCACCCAAAATCCATTTGTATGCCAGGGATAAATACTGATCTGCTACCTAAGGCCCCACAGATTGTGCAGCCTAGTCACTGCACCCACATTCAGGGAATCTGGATCAGTCCCATGCTTTCCTCTCAGACATCAGTCTGGGGTCCAAGAGCTTCCTCTTGATCAGGTCAGCTGTTTCTGTGGGTTAAACCAACCCACTCTTGACCTCTTTGTCATCAGTCCTCCCTCTCTGTCACTGGGTTCCAGGAGTTCAGTCAGTGTTTAGCTGTGGGTTTATATCTCTGCTTCTGTCACTGGATGAAGGTTCTAGGATGACACATAAGGAAGTCGTCAAAGTCATCATCAGGGAGGGGCATTTAAGGTAGTCTCTACACTATTGCTTAGTTTGCCAGTTGGTGTCATCCTTGTAGATTGCTAGAGATCTCACTGGTGCCAGATCTCTCCTCAAACCTGTAATGAGTCCCTCTATTATGGTATCTCTCATCCTGCTCTCCTATATCCTTCCCCCTACTCAACCTTCCTTCTCCCCCATGTCCTCCAATACCTCAAAGTTAACAGTTGGGAAAAGGTTTTTCCAATCAGACATAGTTTCTTGAGGACCCATTTAAAAATCTGTTAAGGATATTCACATTGTCCTTGTAACTCACAGGGTTAAAAAGAAAAGAATAAACAAGCAATAAAATAGAAAGTACTACTGCCTGTAGACTTGACCTAAGAAGCATCGCTGAGGACCCTCATTTCCCTGTCATCATGTCTAAGTCAGCATCACCCAAGGAGCCTGAACAGCTGCGGAAACTCTTCATTGGAGGGCTGAGCCCCGACACAACCGACCAGAGTCTAAGATCACATTTTAAGCAATGGGGAACGCTCACCGACTGTGTGCTGAAGAGGGATCCAAACACCAAGCAATCCAGGGGCTTTGGGTTTGTCACCTACGCCACCGTGGGAGAGGTGGACGCCGCTATGAATGCGAGACCACACAAGGTGGATGGAAAGGTTGTGGATGCTAAGAGAGCCTTTTCTAGAGAAGATTCCCAGAGACCAGGTGCCCTCCTAACTGTGAACAAGATCTTCGTGGGTGGTATTAAAGACGACACGGAAGAACAGCACCTGCGAAATTACTTTGAGCAGTACGGGAAAATAGAAGGGATTGAAATCGTGACAGACAGAGGCAGTGGGAGAAGAAGAGGGTTTGCTTTTGTCACCTTTGATGACCATGACGCTGTGGACAAGATTGTTATCCAGAAAGACCATACTGTGAACGGCCACCAATGTGAGGTGAGAAAAGCCCTGTCAAAGCGAGAGATGGCTAGACGTCGAAGTGGTCCCGGAAACTTCGGTGGTGGTCGTGGAGGTGGTTTTGGCGGCAATGACAATTTTGGTCGAAGGGGAAACTTCAGGGATGGTGGTAGATTCGATGGTAGCCGTGGGGGTGGATATGATGGCAGTGGGGGTGGCTCTAATGGATTTGGTAATGCTGGAAGCAATTGGGGCAAGGGCTCCCATCCTAAAGGCGGTGAGGACAACACTTTGCTAAACCAAGAAAAAAAAGTGGCTGTGGAGGTTCCAGAATCAACAGTAGCTACGGCAGTGGCAGGAGGTTCCAATTCCAGCCAGGGAACAAGGCTTAGCAGGAGCGGAGAGTCACAGGAAGCTATAACTCCCAACTGATTTATGAACTCAGCCAAGCACAGTGGTGGCAGCACCTAGCTGCTCCAAAGAAGAGATGTGTTGGACAATACTCACCTGTAGGGGCAAAATCTCCAGGACTGTATTTGTGAGAGTTGTGTAGCAGGTACTTCAGTTTCTGTTCTGTGAAAAGTGTAAAGCATTCCAACAGAGGGTTTTACTGTAGACCTTTTTTCACCCACGTGTGGATTGCTAACTGTAATATCTGATCAAGTCGCTGAATAAAATGTGTCTTTTCTTTAAAAAAAAAAGAGTACTAACACATTAAATTGTTGTTTGTTGGGCGCCATCTAATTCCTCCAAGTTTTAATTTGATCCCCACTGCAGAAGGACTTGAGAGTGCAAGGATCATGGGTCAGTATAGTCACCTAGGGTCAATGCTCCTGAGTGGATGGAATCTCTGCTTTCCCTGGAGCTGTGATGCTGCCTGAAGTCCCACAGGCTGTGTGGTCATGAGGGAAACACAAGAGTGACAGCAGGTGGGGCAGTGCCAAGGACTAACAAAAGGCAGGAAAGAGAAAGAGACATAGAGAACACACCAGGCACATTGGCATGCCCCTTAATTCTACCACACAGAGGCTGCACCAAAAGACAGTCATGAGGTCTAGGCTAGCCTGGACCATGGAGTCAGGCTCCTGGAACCCAGGTGAAAAGAGGTGTGATGAGCAAAGGAATCAAGGCAGGGCTGGTGAAACCCACAGAGGCAGCTGACCTGAACAAGGGGAAATACGTGGACCCCAGACTAATGACTGAGAGACCTGCATGGGACTGATCCAGACCCCTCCCCCTCATGAACCTGTGTGTCAGAGAGGAGGCCTTGGCAATCTATGGGACCTTAGACAGTAGACCAGTATTCATCCCTAGCATACAAAAGGACATTGGGAGCCCATTCCACATTCAGGGATCCTCTCTCAGCCTGGACACATGGGGAAGGACCTAGGCTCTGCCTAGGATGATATGACAGACACTGAAAATTTCTCGTGGGAGGCCTTATCCTCTTGGGGAACAGAGCAGGGAAGGGAGAGGAAACTAAAAGTACCATATGTAAAAAGTTAAATAAAAATTATTATAAAGTCAAAAAACAAAACATCAATACACAATAATTAGTAGATGTCACATATATTTATATGTATCAGTAATTTGCGAATACAGAACATAGAAAAATATTACATTCAAAACCCGTATATAAAAAATATTTAAGGTTATATATAATGAAATAAGAAGAACACTTCGTTGTATGAAAAAATAAGACCATTTTAAAAAAGGAAATTAAAGAAAACACTAGTTTATGGAGAGAGTTATGTTCCCAGATTGGCAGGATTCATGCAGCAAAAACTTACTACCTAAAGTAAGCCACAGATTCAGTACAAATCCTGTAAAAATTCCAATGACACCCTTCATAGAACCGCAAGAAAAAAATCCAAAACCCACACAGAAACATGAGATTGGAAATTGCAAATGTATCAACCCTAAGCAAAACAAACAATGGTGTAAGTACCACATTACCCAACCTCAACAAAAACTGAAACACTCATGTGTAAATCAAAGTGCAAACTTAACTGTAGGGACAAAGTGAGGCTGTCACATTGACAGGATCAGAAATCACCTAGCAGAGACTCTTTACAGGTGTGTCTCTGAAGCAGCACCTTGGTTAGGAAAATAGACTGGAAAGCATGCTCTCGTAGTTGAAGGCATCATTCCCTTGACTTACAGCCTACAAAACGTGGGGAGCTAGCAGTCAGATAGACATTCAGAGCCCTGGCTGATGTTGCAGAGGACTGCAGTTCAGTTTTCACAACTGCCAGTAACTTCAGTTCCAGAAGATCCAATCCTTCTCTCTGTCCTCCTCCTCCACCTCCTTTTCCTCTTCCACCTCCTCTTTCTCCCTTCTCTTTCCTTATTCTCTTCTTCCTCTTCCTCATCTTTTTCCTGTTCTTCAGTGATTTATTTATTTTGATTTGGCATGGGTTTTATATGCATATATGTATGGGGGGCCTCAAAGATTAAAAATGGAAGTACCCTGGGATACAATCCGACCTCTCCTGAGCTCAGGAACAAATCACTGCACATCCTAGCACAGCGGTCAACGCTCATCCACATCTCCTGCTACGATATTCCCAATGTAGAGATTGCTTAGCTGTCCAGCAACAGAGGAGCACATTTTGAAAATGATAGACACAGTGGAATTCTATTCAGCAGTAAAGAAAAGTAAAATTACAAGATTGTAGAAGAAATGGGTGAACCTAGAAAGTATATTAAGCAAGGTAACCCAGAGAAAAACACAACAAAAAACCACTAGACTGTTGTGTGGGTGCTGAGATCTCCTGTGTGTCACCGTGAAGCATGTGCATCACCACAGTCCCCAAGAAGACCATGAGATGACATCTCCTGAATATGACACAGCTAACCCTTCCTGTCATTTCCTGTCACTGAGTAACCCAGGGAAAGCTGAAGAGAGCTTCCCAATGCTGGAGACATTTTAAAAAGCAGAGATCCTCACTCTGGTATTGTATGTAAATCTTAAGATCTCCATCAGTATCACCAAACCCTAGAGGACAAAGATCGCTGGTGTAAATGGGGCTGAACTGAGGAGGCAAAGCCCACGAAGAGCTGAAAGGAAAAACACGGGATTCAAGGCAGCAGAGCACCTGGGAGCAATTTGCACACCAAGGCTCAACTTTATTATTAAACTTCTTATTATTATTAAGCCTACTTCGTGGCCAGCATGTACAAGTTTCTATAAAAAACAGTAATGTTGTCATCAGAAAAACAATCATTTACCCTGACTGTTCCCTAGGAACTGTGGAAGGCATGGGCATTCCTACGCTCCCTTCCATATTTCTTGGCATCCAAATTCTCTTCTTGAGAATTACCAACATCACATGTTCCTATGCCCATCTGACAAATTTGCTACATCCTCACGAACAATCCCCGACACACCACATTTACATTGTGGCTTTAGGTGTGCTAGAGGGCAGAATATTGCAATCTGTAAAAGAAACTTCCTCAGATGGATACTCCCTCACAGCAAATGATACCACTGACCTAGGAGGGCTGAACTCTGCTGCCCTTGGTGTGGAAGCCTGCTAGTTTTAGGATTCGCTTCCATTTCAATTTTCATGCTGACATTGTCCATGGCTCAACTCTGGCTGCACACACTTGTTTAAAGAGCCATAAAAAAATCTGAGTATTCTTATAATGTAATTTGAAGTTCTCAAATGAGCCTGTTTCCCCTAGGTCATATGTTCATTCGTATCTGCATGGGCTGGAACACTCAGTCACTGGGGAGGTCTACATGGTGATGTATAGTTAAATCTTGCCTGAAGATTCAGAAAGCAATCAGTCAGAAGATATAGAAGCCACACACATGAGGCCCCATACTCCCGCAATCCCAGCCAGCAGGTGAGCTTCTGTCTCTGGGGGGGACACTCCCCATTCTCCACCCGACCCCCATCCCCTTGATCTTCTGGGGCCATTCCTGGCATCCAGAAGACCCGCCGACACAGGAAAGACATCAGCCCTTCCAGGCCCCAATCTCCGGTGATCCCAGCTAGATGAGCTTGAGTCTCTGGGGGGACACTCCCCATCCTCCGCCTGACCCCAACCCCCTCGATCTTCTGGGGCCTATCCTGGCATCCAGAAGACCGGCCCACACAGGAAAGGCATCAGCCCTTCCAGGCCCCAATCTCCAATGATCCCTGTCAGCTTCAGGAAGGAAGGAGACCAGTGGAGACGGAAAGACCCCACCAGAACCCACTGGAAGAAGAAATGGAAAGAAGACAGAATAAGAGCTCACACAGCAGTCAAAATACCAACATGACCCCACCAGAATTTAGGGAACCAATGCCAGCAAGACCTGAAAAGCACTACATAGATGAAGCAGATGAGACAGACCTTAAAAATCATTTTATAAAGATGATAGAGACCATCAAAGAAGAAACGAGGAAATCCCTTGAAGGAATAGAGGAAAAAACAAACAAAAAATCCATGAAATGGGGGAAAAATCAAGAAATAAACAAAGAATCTAAAGAGTGCCAAGAAAAAACAACCAAACAAATGAAGGAAACAACTCAATCAGTTGAAGGATTGAAAGTTGAAATAGAAACAATAAAGAAAACACAGAACAAGGGGATGCTGGAAATGGAAAAGCTGGTAAATGATTAGGAACTACAGATGGAAGTATCACCAATAGAATACAAGAGATAGAAGAGAGAATCCCAGGTGTTGAAGACTCATTAGAGGATATAGATTCGTCAACCAAAGAAAATCTCAAAACCAACAAGTCCTTAACACAAAATATCCAGGAAATATGGGACACCGTGAAGAAGCCAAACCTGAGAATAATAGGTATAGAAGAAGAAGTCGAAGAAATACAGCTCAAAGGTAAAGAAAACATATTCAACAAAATCATAGAAGAAAACTTCCCTAACCTAAAGAAGGATATGCCTATGAAAACGCAAGAATCTTGCAGAACACCAAACAGGCTGGACCACAAAAACAAGCCACCTCGCCATATAATAATCAAAACATCAAACCTACATAATAAAGAGAAAATATTAAAAGCAGCTAAAGAAAAAGGCCAAGTAACATATAAAAGGAAACTTATCCAAATTACAACTGACTTCTCAATGGAAACGATGAAAGCCAGAAGATCCTGGTCAGATGTCCTACAAACGCTAAGGGAACAAGGATGCCAGCAAACCTTCAAATTACCATAGATGGAGAAAACAAAATATTCCATGACAAAGCCAGATTTAAACAATACGTGTCCATGAATCCAGCTCTACAGAAAGTGCTAAAAGGAAAACCTAGATCCAAGGAAGATAACTACACTCACAAAGACACAGGCAATAAATAATCCCACTTTATATAACACCAAAAGAAAAAGGGGGGAGAAACTACACAAAATAACTTCACTACCAATAAATCAAGCACAAACAAG